AGCAATATGTTAAAAAGCTCTGTAAATACAAAATCCTGGTTGATCCCCCCCCCCTCTTTAAAGCAGTCAGATGGAAAAGACCAGCTGCTGGAAGACATGTTAGAACAGGTGCATAAATATGCACCTGGGAGCAAAATTAACCCACTCAGAGCATGAGAAAATGAAGCAGTAAAAGTGAAGTCCAAATTGAAGAGGGAAAGGAAGAGAAAGATGGCAAGCATTCACTTCTGTTGAGAAAAAGAACACAAAGGACCTGTCAAAGCACTACCCAGCACACAAGGTTAATTCTAGGGACCAATATTGGAAGCCGGGTCATTTGGTCAAGTTTCAGAAAAAAAGATGAAAAGGGCAGCTGGCCCATGGCTGCTACACAAATGTTTTTTGGAGCAGAGACTCAGTGAGCTGTGACATTCAAATAATGGAGTTAAGGCTTTGTCTGGTTGTAATGCACATGTCACCTCCCTGATGTATGTTTGTGCTCACCACAAATCTTATAGCTTCTACTGTTTTAGCTGCTAGGGTCCTGGGCTTTGCTATTGTTTTAGAAAACATGTACATTTTTAAGACTCTAATGCCAGCTCTAATATTAGCATTTTAATTTGACTTTCCACACTAGTGCTGATGCACTATTGGATGTTTGCTGCATGTTTCAAGTTTATTTCAAATATGGCTAGAATTCTAAGTGCATTACTTTTCCATGCCCTAATAAATATGTTACTGTATGTACAACAGATTGCACCCATTTTTCCGCATTCTATGTTTTTTGGACAATATATGTGACTAGTTTTATTCATTAGCTATATAATTAAAAAATCTCCCAATCTGTGGGTAGCTTTTAAAATGTATTTTGGGCAAATTACAAGTAATATGGCAGCTTTTACTTATATGTGTGCAGTTATGATTTTAGTATCAGGGCAGCACTATTAATTTCTCTGATTTATTACCAGTGCAATGTGCAGTTATTCAGTAGGGTTGCATTTTACTGGGAAAATGTAACACTAATAGCAACAACAATAGAGCAGCCTTTCGTTTCAATTAAGATCATCTGTCAAACATATGGTTATTATATAAATTAAAATTAAAAAGATATCTATGAAATTAAAATCTAGTTTTACCTAAGGTATTAAACAGAGAATTCAATATTAAAGAGCTTCATATGGAAGAGGAGTATAGAAATCACTTGGTCATAAGTTTGGGAGAGAAATTTATCAGCAAGCAAGAGATCAGCATTTCATGTCCCATGGAGTCAGTTCAAACTGATATCAATTTTATAAACAAATATATTAAACTATTTTTTCTTTTCCAATGAATGCCATTAGAACACATTCAGAAACAGGGTATAGTGTTAAGATTGCAAATGTTTGTCTTTCAGGCCTTGAGCCCTGGGCTCGGATAGTGAATAAATCCACCCTCTGGGGCCTTGGCATTCAGGATCAAGTCCATAGGTCAGTGATGGCTAACCTTTTTGCCGTCGCATGCCAAAAGTGGGGGGAGCATGGGGGTTTGCCTGCGCATGTGCCCACACCCATAATTCAGTGCTGCGTCCCGCCCCCCCTGTACGCGCAACCCCCGCCGACCCCCACTTTTGGCATGCGATGGAATAATTTCCCCAACTTTTCCAAATTAAAACTATGAATGCAGCAGTTTCAGATCTGTTTCTGAATTGATTTAGGCCACTATGCACCTGATCCTTGTAGCACCATCTATATCGTTTATTTCTTAGATGTTCGTATGTTGTACAGGAACATATACACACATCATTTCAACCACAAAGTGAAGAAATTTCAAACTGCATGCTCATAATGGGCTGAGAAGGCATGAATTCAAATGGCAGATATGCCAGTTTTAGAAATGGCAGAGCATGTTTACATGCAGAGGGTACTGAGTTCAGTATTTGACATCTTTGGATCATTATTTCTGAAGTGCCGGGGAGCCTTAGAAAACAATATTCAGCTCGATGGTGCATAGTCTATACCCAATATAAACCAAATTATATTCCCAAGTTTCTGAGAAACAATTGTGAGTAAGGCAGAAGAATGGACTTTTGTGGTCCTATTATATTCTGGGAGAATAATAATAGTCAATGAACAACGTTGTTTATATAACTGTTGGTTTTAATTTTAAGCACTAAACAAAATGTACATAAATGATAACATAAAAAATACCAAATAGAAAAATGAACAAATATTAAAAGTAACAACAACAACAAACAAACAAACAAGCCATCGATCAAGGAACGTTCCTTGGGGAAAAGCGGCTCCTCTCAGGGCTTTGTCAGTGCGGGTAATTCAGCCCTCCATTGTCCGTTGCTGAAGCTGTCCCTCTATATACAGACAGAATAACAGAATTTAATTTAATTTAATTTAATTTAATTTAATTTAATTTATAGACTCAGGGCGGCTATAGAATAGAATAACTGAGTTGGAAGGAACCTCAGAGATCTTCTATACCAACCCCCTTCTTATGTTGTTCCCAGTATCGCCTCCTGTCTGCTGTACTAAATAGCCAGCTTCTGGTGCAGCCCATCAAGAATGGTGAGACTGGCTCCTCGCATGTAATCGAGCTGACTTTTGCTGCTCCTGCCTTTTCTCTGTCCTAAGTGTTCTTGGTTCAGATGCAGAAGGCAGTTCCTCCTCATCATCACTAACCAGCTGGGTGCGTTCCCCACTGAAACCTCAGGGCTGCCCTGCTGCAGCTGTTGTTTCAGCCAAATCACTCTCAGCAGGCTACTCAGAGCCATTGACCAACTCACCTCCTGAGGTGGCTGGGGCTGGTTCCTCCTCCTCCAAGCTGACCTCTGGAGACGAATCTGAGGAAGCATCTGGGGGAGGAATCAAAGGCTATTATTAGGACCTCTTTGCTCTTTCTGGAGCTCCTTGTAATTGCCCTCTGCTCTTCCAATCTGAGGGGCTCATCTTCTGGCATTGTAGCTTTTAGCCCTTTGATACTTTTCCTGGGGTTTTCTTACTAAGGATACTGGAGATGGTTGCCATTTCTTTCTCCAGTGGATCATGTTGTGTCAGCACCCTCGACTATGACCTGTCTGACCTAAATGGCCCTGCACAGCATAGCTCATTGCTTCATTGAGCTTCGCAAGGCAAGGCATTGACCCGTGAGGAAGGTCAAATAGATACCTCTTCTCATTGAAGAAGGCGGTCCAGGGAGTCCAGGATGTCCTCTTCCAGGCTGCTGAGATCCTCCAGGGTGTCTTCCCCCTCCTCTGGAGAATCCTGTGAACGACAGTCATTCCTCTTTAGCCATCAGAGAAAAAAAAATCAGGATTCCTAAAAGGGGGCCTATTGAATGGGGATTACATTTCCCATTTAGGACACCAGTCCCTGCTACTTTGTGGCAAAGGAACCGATCCCACCAGACCACCCCAACCGAACAGCCTTTGTCTTTCTTACCCATGGACTGGAAGAAGCCTCCGCATCCTGGTCCCAGCTATCCTCAGATTCCTCCTCCAGAAGGTCATCAAGGGAGTCGAGGTCCAAATCCCAGAGGCTGCTGGTCCTGGAGCCCGCCAGGACTGTCAGCGAATCCTGCAAATGATACCAGGGTTGCTAAATCCTCAACTTTCTGTGTCCCAATAAGATTCCTATGGCCCTATGGGCCAACAGCAAGAGAGCCTTTCCAAGCCTTAAGCTTAGAAGGATGTATAGCCCAATTTCTCCCACTTCCCATAGCCAAAATTTTCTTACCTCTGAAGATGTTTTATCCAGGTCAGGAGAGATCTCCCCCTGCACTGGTTGGTCTTGTGGTTCCTGAAATAAAAAGCCAAAGATGCCGTCTGTTGGGATATCAAGAAATCCACAGAGACAGGGCTTCTTCTTTTCACGTGGGCAGGATGTGTCCAGGCCTTACCAACTCAGTGCAGGTCTCCAAACTGGTGGACAGCCGCGGCCTCCAGTGCTCTTGCCTTTCCTCTCTGCGGGGAGAAAACAAAGGGGCCAAAGATCAAAAGTAGCCATGGGCCCTTTTGCAAGAGTGGTCATGTGGAGGCCCTAAGAAAACTTCCAGCTGGCCTACCAAGGGGCTTGGTCTATCAGTGGAATTGCCCTGAGTCTTTCTTCCTTTAGCAGAAGCAGAGGCAGAGATGCCTCCCCTCTGCAAAAGTTTCACCCCCCGAAGTATTACCTACCCTGAAAGACAGGCACTGTCTCCTCCTCCACGTCTCCTCCTCCACATCCCTTGGGCTGTTAGCCATCTCCATCGGTCGGCTTCCTTCTGATGATCCTGAAATAAGAGTGCAAATATTCCGTCTATTGGCATATTAACAAATGCAAAGAGACAGGGCATCTGCCATTACCATAGGGAGGAGCTGCTCTGGCCTTACTGACTCAGTGCAGGTCTCCTAAATTGTAGACAGCCGCAACATCCACTTCGATGTCCTCTCATTTCTGGGGAGAGAACGAAGGGCTTGAGTCATTCTTCTTTTAGTAAAAGTAGAGGCAGAGGGTACAGATGCCTCCTCTCTGCAAACATTTATTCTAGCCCTTCTCTTCAGAATCCCTCAGCTGAGAACACTAACCTCATTAAAATGAGAGCTGGCCGGACATCTTCCTTCCTGGGTGGCAGGAGCACCCATCACAACCTGCAAGTAACAATTGTTTCATTGAAGGTATACATTAAAAGTCCTCTGAGGTGGTGGAACGTTCATCTTCCTCAGGAGGGAAGGGCTGCATTACACAGGCCAAAGGGACAGCAGATCATGGGAAATGTGGGTGATAGGAAGAGGCTCAAAATGGCTCTTCCTTAGTATTTCCCAGGATTTTCCCTTCCAAGCCATCAAGATTTTCCCATGTATCCAAGGGATCTTCTTCAGTTTTCTAGGCTGGCCAGGTTCCCCCAACTGGGAATTCTTCCCTTCCCCCACCCAGTTTTGAAGAATGAACCCCCACTGCCCATGTTGCAGAAGCATTCTTACCCCTAGAAAGGAAGAGACGTCTCCATTAGACATCTGAAGATGTGTAAGTAACAATTGTTTCATTGAAGGTATACATTCTTCCCTTCCCCCACCCAGGTTTGAAGAATGAACCCCCACTGCCCATGTTGCAGAAGCATTCTTACCCCTAGAAAGGAAGAGACGTCTCCATCAGACATGTGAAAATGTGCAAGTAACAATTGTTCCATTGAAGGTATACATTAAAAGTCCTCTGCAGGTGGTGGAACGTTCATCTTCCTCAGGAGGGAAGGGCTGCATTACACAGGCCAAAGGGACAGCAGATCATGGGAAATGTGGGTGATAGGAAGAGGCTCAAAATGGCTCTTCCTTAGTATTTACCAGGATTTTCCCTTCCAAGCCATCAAGATTTTCCCATGTATCCAAGGGATCTTCTTCAGTTTTCTAGGCTGGCCAGGTTCCCCCCAACTGGGAATTCTTCCCTTCCCCCACCCAGTTTTTGAAGAATGAACCCCCACTGCCCATGTTGCAGAAGCATTCTTACCCCTAGAAATGAAGAGACGTCTCCATCAGACATGTGAAGATGTGTCTTCAATTCTCCCTGCTGGTCATCCAGTTCCTGTGCCTCTTCAGTCCTGACCAAAAGAAGAAGGTGACATGTCAAAAAACATCCATCTAGCTGACCCTTTCCTTTCTCAACCTAGCCAATCAGCCTGCTCATCTTTTTGCCCCAGAAGTCCCTTCTGGACAGGAAGCCATTTTGGGGAGAGCCCCTTACAGACTCTGCAGTCCATCAATGTTGCCCCACCATACCCAGGGTTTAAGGAGAAGTGGGTGGTACCTGTCAGGAGGCACAGGAAGGTCTTCAATGTTGCTCTTCAGGCAACAGAAAAGGTGCGAACACCTTTTCCAGATGTTCTGTAAAGAGAAGAGAAATAGACATGTATCAGTCAGAAGAGTTGAGAACCATGATTTTCTCCCCCACTGCCAGTTTCTTGGCAGCTCAGTTGGCCACACTTACTCTGAAAAGCCTTCTGACAGCCATGACCAACTAGTTGCTTGTACTATCACTGCACGAAGGGAGAATGGGCAGCTGTGCACTGGCTAGTGGCTTTTCAGGGCAACTCACAACCAGCTCACCTGGGTCTAGAAGTGGCTGGTGGCTGACTCCCTTGTAGTCCTTTTGTCCTCTGCGTTTCATGTGGGAAGATGTTGTTCATGAACAACAGAGAAGCACCATCCTTGTGGCACAAAGCACAGAGGGAATAATAGAATCTTAGGGTGGAAGCGACCATGTGGCCATGTTACTTTGAGTCTTCTGCCCCTCACCCCCACCCCATGCCCCTCCTGGTAGAGTGCCTCCATGGCAGCAGACCTGTGCGGAAAGGAAAGAGAGGCCGGCTGACAGTGTGCGTGGAGGCGGCCACAGGACTGGGCGGGCTGCATTCAGCTCTGCATGGCTACAAATGCGGGCTGGCCACAAAGAAATCTTTCCTGTTGAAGGAAGGGGCTGCGATGCAGAAGAGAGCTCCATTGTATGTATTTGTATTGCAAAGTAGCACAGCAGGAATGAAGAATAATGTGGGACACTGATTTAGTAACTCAAATAAAATCCGATATTTCAAATAAAATATCTAGCCTCAGCAAAAGAAAACCATTTCTTCGTTGCCCGACCACTGTGGTGTCTGCATCGCTAAGGGGATCAGTTGCGTGCCCGTCAGCCTGCCTGTATGCTCGGGGCGTGTGCGGGGTCTCCTGGAGAGGAGGGGCCAATGTGCGCTCTCCACAGGATTAACTTAATGACTTCAGCATTCGCTTAAAAACTATTGTAAAAATGTTCAAAAAAGGGATGTTGGTTTTACCATGGTACGTTCCTTCTCATAGTGTAAAATGGGAGGTGCCAGGCTGGGTTATTTTATGCTCTAGCTCTACAGACTGAGTTGAAACTTCTGAAGATCCGCCTCCCTGGTGACGTTCCTTCAGTTTTGACAATGAAGACGAAGTGAATGGAAGGCCATCTGAAAAACAGAAACAACACTCCCCACCCAACGGGAGTCGGGCCGGACAGACAAAGACAGGGTGGGGCTGGCATCTCCCATTTTACACTACAAGAAGGAACGTATCACGGTAAGACCAACGTCCCTTCTCCATAGTGTAGAAATGGGAGGTGCCAGCCTGGGATATACCAAAGAATGGCCAGCATTACGGGCAGGAATTGTCCTGGGCTGACGACCTCGGATCCTCGTGGACCCTCTGCAACACTCTTTTTCCAAACGCCGCCTCTGCCGAGGCATAGGAATCAAGTTTGTAGTGATGTATAAAGGGAGAGGGAGACGTCCACGTAGCCGCCCTACAGATCTCTTCCACAGAAGCCTGAGTGGCCCAGGCCGCCGTTGTGGCTGCACTGCGGGTAGAGTGGGCCGTTATCCCCTGAGGCACCAGGAGAGCTTGAAGCTCGTAAGCACATGCTACACATGTCCGAAGCTAATGCCCCACCGTGGAAGGGGTCACCCTGTGGCCAAGAGTTGACGGCCGAAAGGAGACGAACAGGGACTCTGTTTTCTGGAATGAAGAGGTCCTTGAAATATAAATATGGAGGGCCCACCTAACATCCAACATATGCCAGGTCTGCTCCAAGGCGTGCTGAGGCCTTGGACAGAAATCTGGCAGGACCAACTCCTATGCTCGGTGAAACGAGTTGACTTTTGGAAGAAAGGTAGGGTCCAGCTGTAGGACCACCCTGTTAGAGTGAAAAATACACAAGTCTTTCCTCACCAATAATGCCGCCAACTCTGAAATCCGTCATGCAGACGTGACGGCCACAAGGAAAGCAAACATGAGAGGAGGCGAAGACTAGCCTCCCTCAATGGTTCAAAAGGTGCCTTAGTCAATGCCTGTAAAATCTTAGTTAGGTCCTAAGTGGGATAATGATGAAGCGTAGGAGGTTTTAAATTAGACGCTCAATGCAGAAATGTCTTCACCCTCGGATGGTTAGCGAGGGAGCCCCAGTCCCCAAAGGTCAACACCGAGCCCAGTGCAGCCACCTGCTGTCTTAGGGTATTAGGGGAAAGTCCCAGTTCCAGGCCCTCTTGTTAAAACTCCAGCACCTCCACCACAGAGGCTGAAGTAGGATCCAAATGTCTTGTGACACACTAACCGGCAAACTTGGTCCACATGGCCTCATAGATATGTGTGGTTGAAGGCCGCCTGGCCGCCTGCATTGTCCTAATGACCCTGGTAGATAACTTCTCCCGTCTCAGGAGCCTCCGCTCAACTGCCAAACAGCCAACTGCAGCCTCCGTGGGTGGGGATGCTGCATGGGTCCCTGGCTGAGGGAGACTCTGTCCGGGGGAATCCTCCAGGGCCTGGCGACAGACAGGCCGACCAGGTCAGCGAACCAGGACCTCCTGGGCCAGTGTGGGGCCACCAACACAATCTCTGCCCCCTCCAACAACACCTTCCTGATGACAGCTGGTATTAGGGGTAGGGGAGGGAAGGCATATAAGAGGCCCCTGTGCCACGGGGTCCTCAGGGCATCCACCCCCTTTGCTCCCGTGGCAGGAAAATGGGACAGGAAGTGGGGAAGGTGGGTGTTTGTTGGAGAGGCAAAGAGGTCCATCACCGGGTGACTGAACCGGTCCACTATGGCCACAAACAGGATGGGATGGAGCCTCCACTCCAATGGATCCACGGTGGCTCGACTCAGCCAGTCGGCTTGGATGTTGGCCGTTCTGGCGATGTGGTCCACTGTCAGGGACAAAAAGTTAGTCTCTGCCCATTGGCAAAGGGTCTCCACCTCTAGCATCAGAGACCATGAACGAATCCCCCCTTGCCTGTTTATATGGGCTTTCGTAGTCGTGTTGTCTGTGAGGAGGAGCACATGCTGCCGCCTTACCTGTGGTAGAAATGTCTGAAGGGTCAGACGGGCAGCCCGCAGTTCCAACCAGTTGATCTGCTGGGAGAGTTCCAGCTGAGACCAGCGTCCCTGGGCTACCTGAGACCTGCAATGGCCTCCCCAGCCAAAAAGACTGGCATCCGATGTCACTATCACTTGGCAAGGCTCTCTGAAATAGCAACCCTTCTGGATGATCTGAGGTCTACCAACCCAGGGAGTGAAGTACCCGTGGCGGCACCCATACTCAGATCTTGGAAGAACTGGTGCCCGCCCTCTGAAATGGAAGCAAGAACCACTGTAGTGGTCATGTATTGAATCTTGCCCACGGGACTATGGCCAGACAGGAGATCATTTTCCCTAACAGTTGGGATAACTGGGCCACTGGCCCCCTCTGGTCCTGCCGAATAAGCTGGATCAACACCCGTATGCTCTCCTGCCATTCGTGGGACAAGAATACCTGACCCGCCTGAGTATCTATCAGGGCTCCTAGGTGGACCAGTCTCGTTGAAGGCAGAAGTTGGCACTTTTCCAAATTTACAGAGAATCCATGATCCCTCAGTGTACCTATTGTTGTAGCCAAGTCCTGTTCCGCTAGCTGCTGTGATGACACCTGTATGAGCAGATCGTGCAGGTAACACTGGATCCTGATAGGGATCGACCTGAGGTATGCCGCCAGGACAGAAAGAATTTTAGTAAAGGTCCGGGGGGCAGATGCCAGCCCAAACGGCAGGGCGAGATATTGGTAGTGGCAGCCTGCATAATAAAACCTCAAGTACTGGTGATGCTCTGGATGAACAGGGACATGGAGGTATGCTTCTGTTAAATCTATGGAAGCCATGAAATCTTCCTCCCTGATTCCCGCTAAGATGGAATGCAGGGAGTACATTTTGAATCTCCTGTAAAGAATGTAGATATTAAGTCCCTTCAAATTTAGAATTGCTGCCCCCCCCCCCCCCGAGGCCTTTGGGATGACAAAGAGGATTATATAGAACCCGTGCCCCCGTTGCTCCGGCGGAACAGGCTGAATGGCCTGAATATCCAGCAAATGCTGGATAGCTGAATCCATGAGTCCCCATCTGACCAGGTCTCCAGAAATAGGGCAACGGAGGAAACGCCTCGGAGGAGGGAAAAGGAATTCGAGGGAGAGCCCTGCTCTTACCGTCTCCCTCACTCAGTGATCTGATGTTAGGTCGTCCCAGCAGTCTGCAAACAAAGCAAGCCTGCCTTCAATAGGTGCCTGAGGCGAGCCATCACTTGGATCGTCTAGCCCCGCTGCCACCATTGCTCCTAAAGGGCCTGCCGGACGGCTGCTGTCTACCCCTGCCAAAGGTAGATTTATCAGCCTGGAAACTCAGTCTGAAAGGGCTGCTGCTGACAGGGAAAGCCTGCCCAAGCTCCCCACTGGCGGAAGGAGGGCCGTCTATAATAAGGTGATGGACAGAAATCAATATGTTTGCCCTGGGAAGGAAGCACTTTCCGCTTATCCCTGGTCTCCACCAGTAACGGGTCCAAAGACTGACCAAACAAATGTCCCCCTTCAAATGGAGCCAAGGCCAACTTCCATTTGTTTTTTCCATCCATGCGCCAATGGCACAGCCAGAGCATACGCCTTGCTGTAATAGAGGCCGCCATGGCCCGGGCAGAAAACCTGGTGGCCACCAAGGTAGTGTCAGCGGTGTACTCCGCAGCCACCAGAATCTTTGACAAGTCCTGGTGAGCCCTGACATCCTCCAGTGCCAGGTGGGACTATAGGTGGGGTAGCCATCTAACCGAAGCCCTTGCATAAAAGGACGCCGACGCCGATGCCTTAACAGGCCAGGAATCCGCCAGGTGAGCCAAGCAGTCTCCTCCCTCCGTTCCTCAGCCTTCAAAGTGTCATCCGCATCTGGCGGCAACACGGAGGAAAAGGTGAGCGCCGCAACTGGAGTATCCACCTTGGGAACCTCCAGCAAATTAAGCAGCGCTGCATCCACATCAAAAAGCTGATTCTCCAACCCCGTGGCCCTGGGAGCCGTGGTTGGTGAGGCCCACTGCCTACGAATCGTGTCCAGGAACATGTCAGGTACAGGGATTGTATTCGCTGTTCCAAGAACAGGAAATCATCCTGGTCACCACCACCCATGCCCTTATCAGAAGTAGAAGGGGCCTGGCCCAGCCCTGCAGTAGCCCGTGCCTTTGCTAACAGAGGTTTCAAAAGGGCGGGGTTAAAGAGACCCTTGAAGTGCGGTCGCAGGTGAGGATCCTGCTCTGAATCCGAAAAATCACCCTCCCCCTGAAAATCCCCTGAATAAAGACTAAGTTCTGAAGAGGTAGAGGAGTCAGGGTCCTGGTAATCCACCAGAGCAGGCATAAACCTGTGAGGCTCCAGGTCAGGTCTCAAAGCATACATTGGAACAGGT